TTTTTCAATCACACGGCTAAGTTGTCATCTTTTTTCCCCGTACCTTTTGGATATCAGTTTCCATCTCGATTACTAACATACTTTTATTTTGAAAAGATCTTCATTTTGACATTTTCATTCTCAATTTACGAAAAAAGAACACATCTAGAAACTCATAAGCTGTGTGTGTGTGTGTGTGTGTGTGTGTGTGTGTGTGTGTGTGTGTGTGTGTGTGTGTGTGTGTGTGTGTGTGTGGTGTGTGTGTGTGTGTGTGTGTGTGTGTGTGTGTGTGTGTGTGTGTGTGTGTGTGTGTGTGTGTGTGTGTGTGTGTGTGTGTGGTGTGTGTGTGTGTGTGTGTGTGTGTGTGTGTGTGTGTGTGTGTGGTGTGTGTGTGTGTGTGTGTGTGTGTGTGTGTGTGTGTGTATTTAGAAAAGTTAATCCCGATGGTGTTGAAGTTCACGGACGTGGAGGACGACGAGCTGAGAGAGTACTGTTTCCAGGCCTTTGAAGCCTTTATACGCAGGTACACACACACACACACACACACACACACACACACAGACACCTTCATGTTGTTGTTTCCGTTGATTGACAGCTGTCCAAAGGAGATGTTGCCACGGTGACAAAGCTTTGCCTTAAGTTCATGACCTTTGACCCGAACTACAACTATGACGATGAAGAGGAGGAGGAAGACAGCATGGACGTGGAGGAAGGGCTGGAGGAAGGTGTGTATTCATTTATGTTTTGTGCTGTTTCAAATACTGCTGGGTATTACTAAAACTGAAATAAAAACTGTTTCTCGATTTATAAGTATGTTGCATTTAACTGATGAAAGAATATTTAATGTACTTACCATATATACATGTATGATTACAAAAGACTAACATCAGTACAATGTTTTCAGTAAAGAGCTTATAAGCTAAATATTATATTAATTTGTTTTTATTTTGATAACTTTTAATACAAGTTTGACAGTAATCTGTGTTCAGTCGTGTCTTGAGGTTATATTTGACTGAGGACTCAGTTTGAATGATTTGTTAGAAAATCAATTGTTACCTTATTTACTTTACTTAGTAACTTGTAATCTGAAAAATACTCTAAAGTTCCACAAATGTGGATGTAAGTAGAGAACTTCCAGCACTGCCTTTCAGTCAGTGTTAGTCCTAATTTTCAGGTATTTGGATCTTAAAGAGAAAGTCTCATGTCTGTATCTAATAATGTACAATACAAAGACCCATAATGCATTGTTTTGTGGGTCTGTTCAGATTGATTGAGATAGAAAATGTAATTGAATCTCCTCGGCCAATGAGAAGTGATGTAAACACAATGAGAGAAAAGATGAATCCATTAAAAATAACCTCTCTTCTCTGGACTCAAGAGTCAGAACCCTACAATATTATCTCTGTTTGTTTGTAGCCTTTATTTAACCAGGTTAAAAATCCCATTGAGATCAACGATCTCTTTTTCAAGAGAGACCTGCGGTACATTGGTTACACATAAACAACAGAAAACAAAAAGGACGTCACAAACATAATTACAGGGGTATAAATTAGCAACCTATTCACAATGACAGGTATCTAATAACATTTCATCCAGCCGCGCTTTAAAATGATGCAAGGGAACCAAAATGCTCAGTTTCAATTTGTTTTGCATGGTGTTCCAAGCTAGAGGAGCAGCGCACATAAAAGCTTTAGTACCTAAAACAGTCCTAGCACTTAGCACATGTAATAAAAACACATCCTGGGATCTCAGGCAATAGCTACTTGCCACTCTCTGTGAGATCAAGGAGCATATATAAGTTGGGAGTTTACCCAACATAGCTTTATAAATAAACATGTACCAATGACTGAGCCTCCGTACAGTAAGTGAAGGCAGACCTGCCTTGGCATACAGGGTACAGTGATGAGTAAGTACTTTACAGTTAGTAACAAATCTCAGAGCACTGTGATAGGCGGCATCTAACCTTTCCAGGCAATGGGCAGGTGCATTCATATAGATCAGATCACCATAGTCTAGCACAGGTCAAAAGGTCACAGAGCCTTTTCCTGGCTTCAAAAGAGAAACAGGACTTGTTTCTGAAAAAGAAACCTCGTCTAACCCTCAGCTTTTTAAGCAGATTAATGACCTGCAGTTTAAAAGTAAGACAATCATCAAGCCAGATACCAAGGTATTTATAACAGCTAACCACTTGGAGTACTTGTCCTTGCATAGTAACAATATCCAAAGCAGTCTCTGGAGTCTTTTTAGCTTTAGAAAAGAGCATTACCTTGGTTTTCTCAACATTTAAAAGAAGCTGAAGTTCAGAGAGCTGAGTCTGAATAATGTTAAAAAACAGCCTGTAATTTAACAACAGCCTCCTTAATGGAGGGACCTGCACAGTACATCACGGTGTCATCACAAGGCAAAAAGGCAATCACAAATATGACTCCAGCTAAAAAAACTCTCTGTACCTCTGATGACCTGCAAAAAGCAAATGAACTGAATGACTTTTACATGAGATTTGAAACCCAGGACTTCTCCTCTGAATGTACAGATATCTTAGAGACAATCTCTGCTACTGACCAGGATGAAAGGGTGCTGATTGACCCTTTAAAGGTCCAATCACTTTTCAAACACACCTGTACTAAGAAGGCCACAGGGCCAGATGGCATCTCTGCATTCCTTCTGAAGACATTTGCAGAAGAACTGACATCAGCATGGTGTCCCATATTTCAAAAATCTGTTGATCTTCACACCATCCCCACCCTCTGGAAAAAATCAATAATAAAACCTGTCCCCAAAAAACCTTGTCCAAAGGTAAACAATGATTTTAGGCCTATTGCATTGACATCCATTGTCATGAAATGTTTTGAGAGGATCATGGTGCCGCTGCTAAAGAAAGAGGTTGATGTACATTTAGACCCTTTTCAGTTTTGCCTATAAGCAAGGGCGTGGCACAGACGATGCTCTAAATAGCATCACACACCTGGTCACTAAACACCTGGAAGACCCTAAGGCATATGTACGCCTACTGTTTGTGGATTTCAGCTCGGCTTTTAACACACTGCAGCCTCACATCTTGCTTCAAAAACTGATAAAGATCAGTATAAATCCTTTTATCTTGAAATGGTATTTTTCGTTTTTAACCAATCGCACTCAGCATGTCAGGGTCAACAATGCCCTCTCAGAGCCCTGGACCATCAGTACAGGAGCTCCCCAGGGTTGTGTGAGCTCCCCGGTCCTCTTCACATTGTACACAAACGACTGTACGAGAATCCACCCGGAGAACTATATCATCAAATTCTCAGATGATACAGCCATCCTTGGCTTGATGCACAAAGGCAGCAGTTCATCGGCTTATCACTCTGAAATAGAGAGATTTGTGCAGTGGTGTGATTTTAACCATCTGGTGCTGAATGTGAAGAAGACTGAGGAGATGGTGTGGGACCCAAAGGCAGTGGGTGACCTTAGGCCGGTGGTTATCCACAACGAACCCATAACTCAGGTCAGCTCCTATAAGTATCTTGGTGTCCATCTAGATAATACACTCAGCTGGAAGGCGCATGTTCAAGGTCTGTGCTCTAGACTTCAGCAGCGGTTGTACTTTCTGCGTCGACTCCGGGCTTTCGGAGTCGACCAGAAGTTCATGTTACTGTTCTATCATGCAGTGTTGGAGAGCATCATGAGGTATGGTATCACTGCCTGGTATGGTAACTTGACAGTGCAGTCAAAGTCACAGATCGCTCGCCTAGTACAGACTGCTATGAAGATTATGGGGGTTAAAAAACACCCATCTCTCCAAAACATATACGAGCAGTCCATTATCAGACAGGCAAAATAAATGGTGTCTGATCCCACCCACATACTCCACCCAGAATTCCAGCTCCTACCTTCTGGTAGAAGATTCAGGGTTCCCAGGAGCAGGCTGAACCACTATAAGCACTCATTCCTACCTATGTCGATTAAGCTTCTTAATGAAATGATATGTAGTCAAATGTAATGAAATGTACTTTTTTTAATGTTGGCCATGAGGGTTGTGCAATAGGTCGCCATTGTCAGTATGTACGTGTGTGTATTGTGTTTGTTCAAACGGTGTATGACTGATGATATGTGTATGTCTCTTAATGTCCACTATGTTTGTATATGTACATGGATGCACTGCAGGACGGAGTCCAGAACAAATTTCCTTACGGGAACAATAAAGTATATCGTATCGTATCGTATCGTATCGTATCGTATCGTATCCACATAAAAATGTAAAGTAGCTTCATCCACATTTTCACCTAAACTATTGATGTAGATGGAGAATAAAAGTGGACCTAAAACAGAACCTTGAGGAACACCATTAGTAATGTTTAACCACTCAGAAGACAGCCCATCAAAGTGAACACATTGGGACCTTTCAGAGAGGTAGTTCACAAACCACCCCACTGCATGGCTGGATAAGCCAATACTGAGTAGCCTCTGCTTTAAGATGCGATGATCGACGGTGTCAAACGCTTTGTACAGGTCAATAAATAGAGCTGCACAGCTCTGCTTTTTATCTAAAATACTCGTAATGCCATTCACCACTTTCATTGTGGCAGTGATGGTGCTATGTTGCTTTCTGAAGCCTGACTGATGTTTAGACAGGATGTCATTTGTACATAAGAACACCTTTACCTGTTCACTCACTAGGCGTTCAAGAACCTTAGCCAGAACTGACAATTTAGAGATGGGCCTATAGTTATTTAAAATAGTTTCCTCCCCTCCTTTTAGTAAAGGCAAGACATACGCTGACTTCTATACTTGTGGAATTGTGTTTGTGCTGAGGGAGAGGTTAAAAAGAGAAGTGAGAGGTGGAGCAATACAATCTGCAGCTATCTTTAAAAAGAAAGGTTCTACGTTGTCCGGGCCGGCCGGTTTCTTAGGATCTAACTTAGATAATGCTTCATGAACAACATTAACAGTAAAAGGAGTAAAACTGAAAGGGTTTTCCAGACCACATTGTTCAGAGTCACAGACTGTGGTGTTCACAGAAGCAGAGTTAGTGACTGAATCAAACAGAGAGCCACAGGACACAAAATGCTCATTAAAACAATTTAACATGGTGGCCCTGTCTGATATAGAGCCAGATGCTGTGGTAAGGCACGGAGGTAGCTCATTACGGATCTCTGTATAGAAATCAAGGTAATTGGTCAAACATATCTTGATATACTTTATATTATTTGAGTTCTCGCCTATGATAAGTGATGGAAACACAGTAAAGATGTTCTGTCTGAGTCCATTGAAAAATAACCGTCTATTTGTAAGCATACCTGTCTGTACCGGCTACCCAGGGGAAGGTCAGAGAATTTAAATGAATGTGTATTTATGTATAATTTGCCAAGACTTAGAAGGAAAGGGGGTAATGTGTGTTTGTGAGCAATAACGTGTAGATTTGAGTGGACTGTCAACTGAGGCGGGTGTGATTTTTATTTACATCTCCATGTATGATATATATTGTGGAATAAATAGAAAGTTCTAAAAAAGAATAAAATAACCATCTCTCCTCTATTCTCCAGAGTCAGACGATGAGTACAGTGACGATGACGATATGAGCTGGAAGGTGCGTCGCTCCTCCATCAAGTGTCTGGAGTCTCTGATCGCGACGCGGCGGGACCTCCTGCTGAGCTTCTTCTCCTCCGTCTGCCCCGCCCTGCTGGCCCGCTTCAAGGAGCGCGAGGAGAACGTGAGGGCGGACGTGTTCAGCGCCTTCTCCTCGCTGCTCAGACAGACCCGAGGGGGAACCAGCCTGCAGGGAAACATGAGGCCCGGGGGGGAGGAGCCGGCCCTCACACTGCTGAAGACACAGGTGTTTAAAGATCTCCTATCATGCTATTTTAGGAATATATTATGGGTCTCAGATATATCCCAGAACCCAAAAGTTGTGGTTTCCTGCGGGAGCTGAGGTCTGTACGTCTTAGTGAATTTTTACTTTAGAGAACACCGATTGTATGTGTTAGAACAGACTCTCAGACTCTCAGACATACACACACAGACACATACAGTGTCAAAGACAAAAACAGGTGTGCAGGTTGTTCATTTTTTATTACCCAAGGAAGAACAGCACACGCATTTAAATAAGTATTGTTTTTATGCATTATATCCAGGGGTGCACATAACTGGTACGCAGGTACGCATGCGCGGCAACAATCTGACATGCGTACCGTCACTTGTGTCACAAAGCGCATTTGCGTACCGACGTAAATGTGAAGCTTTTCCAGAAGGCGGTTAGTTCACCGGACGACAGTCGGTCTCCGTGTGCAGGGCTGCTGTTAACGTCGGTCTGTACAGCAGCCCTGCGCTAAAACAGCTGATCACAACGTTCACACACTCCGCAGTCACGAAGCGCTGTACTCTACTACCAACCCCCCCCGTTGACAATCGTGAAGCGCTGTACTCCACTGACGCTACCCCCCCCCCCCGTTGACAATCGCGAAGCGCTGTACTCCACTGACGCCACCCCCCCCCCCCGTTGACAATCGTGAAGTGTTGTACTCCACTGACGCTACCCCCCCCCGTTGACAATCGCGAAGCGCTGTACTCCACTGACGCCACCCCCCCCTGTTGACAATCGTCAGAAGTTGGAGTACCAAACAACGACTCTCATCTGAGTACCTCATTGAGAAAGTTGTGTGCACCCCTGATTATATCATCCTTTGGGGCGGGTGCTGTGCCTTTATATAATATTATAATTTTTACTTTAGACAACGCGGTGTGTGTGTGTGTGTGTGTGTGTGTGTGTGTGTGTGTGTGTGTGTGTGTGTGTGTGTGTGTGTGTGTGGTGTGTGTGTGTGTGTGTGTGTGTGTGTGTGTGGTGTGTGTGTGTGTGTGTGTGTGTGTGTGTGTGTGTGTGTGTGTGTGTGTGTGTGTGTGTGTGTGTGTGTGTGTTTGCTTAGAGAAGTTAATCCCGATGGTGTTGAAGTTCACGGACGTGGAGAGAGTACTGTTTCCAGGCCTTTGAAGCCTTTATACGCAGGTACACACACTGACCTTCATGTTGTTTCCGTTGATTGACAGCTGTCCAAAGGAGATGTTGCCACGGTGACAAAGCTTTGCCTTAAGTTCATGACCTTTGACCCGAACTACAACTATGACGGTGAAGAGGAGGAGGAAGACAGCATGGACGTGGAGGAAGGGCTGGAGGAAGGTGTGTATTCATTTATGTTTTGTGCTGATTCAAATACTGCTGGGTATTACTAAAACTTAAATAAAAACTGTTTCTCGATTGAATTGAGTTTGACACCCCTGCTGTAAACATTTCTTCCTCCTCTCTCAGATCGACCTGTCCTCCATCCTGCCGGAGACGCTCTCAGTTTTGGGATCTTTCCTCCGAAAGAACGAGCGAGTTCTGAAGCTCGGGACGCTGGCCTGTCTCACCTCGATCATCACGCATCAGGCTGCAAACATCAAACCTGCCGCGCTGGAACCGGTCCTGAGCGAGCTGCCGGGTCTGGTGGATGAGAGTGACATGCACGTATCACAGGTACACACACACACACACACACACACACACACGAGGACATGTTCTGCTGTATTTAGGTGTATATCAGTATGTAGTGTTTCTACTTTAAAGAGTCCTCTCCTGCTGATGTTCAGGTGTATATCAGTATGTAGTGTCTCTACTTTAAAGAGTCCTCTCCTGCTGATGTTCAGGTGTATATCAGTAAGTAGTGTCTCTACTTTAAAGAGTCCTCTCCTGCTGATGTTCAGGTGTATATCAGTATGTAGTGTCTCTACTTTAAAGAGTCCTCTCCTGCTGATGTTCAGGTGTATATCAGTATGTAGTGTCTCTACTTTAAAGAGTCCTCTCCTGCTGATGTTCAGGTGTATATCAGTATGTAGTGTCTCTACTTTAAAGAGTCCTCTCCTGCTGATGTTCAGGTGTATGTCAGTATGTAGTGTCTCTACTTTAAAGAGTCCTCTCCTGCTGATGTTCAGGTGTATGTCAGTATGTAGTGTCTCTACTTTAAAGAGTCCTCTCCTGCTGATGTTCAGCTGTAAATCAGTATGTAGTGTCTCTACTTTAAAGTAGGGGTGGGCGGATCAATCCCAAAATATCGATACTTCCGATATTACTTTGCGTTTCAAAATATCGATACTCGAGCCAATAGGATCGATCCTTTTATACTTTTTTTTTTCTCTCCTCGTCAATTTCATCAAAAACAATGTGCAGAGTGCAGACGAACACAAGTATATGCGCTCTTTCCTTCTCTATCCACTGCTCTCCTCCTTTCCTCAAGGCTTGCGCACGAGCAGCGCGCTCCCTGCCTGAACTCCCATTATCAAGCTGACTGACAGCAGCCAGCAGCAGCCAGCGACTCTCGAGTGCGACACACGAGCATGATGGCTGAGAGAAAGAGAAGAGTCGTGTGGAGCTACTTCACAACTGGCAATGAAAACTTAGCGAACTGTGATGTGTGCAAGAAGGCAGTTCGCTACTGTGGCCACTATAATATATATAATAATTCACAACCTATTATAAATCGTAATTTATAACTAATAATTATGTCTACACATTTTTAACTCCGTTACACAGACACTGTTAGGATGGCGTGGAAGGGTAGGACCCAAATGCAGACTATCAAAAAGGTAACAGGTCTCGTAACAAAAAGCGAGCTTTATTTTAAAAGCTGATCAAAACAAGGCATGAAACAAATGGGTTGTACAAAAAACTGACCGTGACCCACATGGAGGGAGACAGGAGAGACAACCGTGACTGACATGGAGGAAGACAGGAAAAACCAACAATGAACCGACAGGGGAACACAGGAAGAGACAAGACTAAATACAGGGAGGGGTAATCACAAGACAAGACACAGCTGGGGTAAGAGAGGCAGAAACACAAGGGCAACAGGTGAACACAATCAGACAATCAGACACACCAGGGGAACTAATGACAGGAAGGCAAACACAGGAAGAAGGAACAGAGAAGACACAAGGAGGAAACATTTCAAAACAAAAGGTGGAAAATGAAAACATAAATACAAAACCGTAACAGAACCCCCCCCTCAAGGGACGGATTCCAGACGTCCCAAGAAAACCCCCAAAAGTCCAAAAAATTCCAGCAGGGTGGGTGGAGGGGGTCTGGAGGACGGGTTTGGGCTGACAGCCCAGGGGCACAGCGGAGGACCCGGAAGGGGTCTCGGGCGGACGGCCCGGGGGCAAGGCAGAGATCAAGGAGGGGGTCTCGGGCGGACGGCCCGGGGGCAAGGCAATGTTCAAAAAAGGGCGAAGACCACAGCGGGCGAACTCAGGGGGCCGGGCATGAGAGAAAAGGCAGCGGCTGAAAGCGTCAGGAGGCCGGGCTCGAGGGCGAAGGCCACGGCTGGGGAAATCAGGGGGCCGAGCTCGAGGGCGAAGGCCCCGGCACTCAGGGGGCCGGGCTCGAGGGCGAACAAGAAGGCGTCGACGGGACAGCTCCGGAGGCCGGGCAGGAAGGTGCTGACGGGACAACTCCGGAGGACGGGCAGGAAGGCGCTGACGGGACAGCTCCGGAGGCCGGGCAGGACCCGTTGTCGGCCAGACAGGAACCGGAGCCGACGGAACAGGCGTAGACGGGATCCTGGACATGACATGGACTGGTGTCAATGGGACCCCGGATGGAGCAAGGGCTGGTGTCGACTGGACCTCCAACGGAACAGGCAGTGGCGTTTTTATATGTACAAAAGTGGTGGGGCACAAAAAACGTAGATGTCTATATATAAGCTTATGCAGTGACGTGCAGTGAGGTTCATGGCTGCTGAGACACTGGCACTGACTCTTCAGGTTTACAAATATTATATTTTGACCTAAACCAAAATATAATATTATTTTCAAAAGCTTTTTTTGTCTGATGCTTCGATTAATTTTAAACAGACAGTTCAACAAAAGGATACCCAACAAATCTAATTTTATCATTTAAATATTGAATTGTTCTCTCTTAGTAAGATCCCATTTTCAATAAAATGGCGGTCTTACCTTGACTTGAAGATGAAGTCCATTTGCCTATCCTTCTGGACAAACATTTCTATTACTTTTTTGTAAAAGTCCTCCTTATGTTCTTGTAGTTTCAAAAGTCTATCATAAATCTAATCCATAGATTTATGATAAAAAAATTATATAAGTAGGGTAGACATGTGGATGTTATCCGGCTAATCAAAACGTGCATTTATCTAACAGGTACGTTTCCCACAGATCTTATTTCGAGCTATTTTCTAAAATCCTCTGGAGAAACCTCATTGCTTTTTTGCAGCTTACTTCCTGGTTTTAGGACGCGTCACTGCAGCTCTCTCGTCTCCTCTTCACACACCACACTTTTCGCGGCACACGTACTTACAGCCAATCAGCTCTGAATGATTTGAGAAGACGTATGGTGGGGATGGTAGCTCCATGCCCCTCTGGTCATTATTTTCTTGCCACACACATTTCATTACAAAATACTCTGAGCATGCGCAGTGTAGTTTTTACAGTCACCGTTGACTTCACAGCGAGAGGAAGGGGCATAATCAGGTTTTGTCCCACATGGCTCTAAACAGCTCAATAGGCACACACTGTGACTGTAGACACACTAATTAGAAGAACACAGACTAAAACAGCAATGTACAGACGAATCAGATGATTAAACATGATCTTAAAATATATTTTATATATTTTTTTATTTATTTTTTTGCATTTTTGTAATCATTATTTGTAATACTTTCTGCTGACACTAGGTGGGGCTGTGCCCCACCTGCCCCTAATGACCAGTCGCCACTGGGAACAGGACACAGAGTTGGCAGGACCCCCGGTGGAACAGGTGTCGGCGGGACCTCCAACAGGACAGGACACAGAGTTGGCAGGACCCCCGGCGGGACAGGTGTCGGCGGGACCCCCCAACAGAACAGAACATGGAGCTGGCAGGACCCCCGGCGGGACAGGTGTCGGCGGGACCCCCAACAGGACAGGACATGGTGTAGGCAGGAAATCTGGTGGAGCAGGTGTCGGCGGGACCCCCAACAGGACAGGATCTGGTGTTGGCAGGAAACCTGGCGGAGCAGTAGTCGGTGGGACCCCCAACGGGACAGGACATGGGGTTGGCAGGACCCACAGCTGAACCCCCAACGGCACATGACACAGGGTTGGCAAGACCCCCGGCAGAAGAGTAGTCGGCGGGACCCCCAATGGGACAGGACATGGAGTTGGCAAGACTCCCGGCAGGAGAGTAGTCGGTGGGACCTCCAACAGCACAGGACATAGGGTTGGCAGGACCCCCGGCAGAAGAGTAGTCGGCGGGACCCCCAACGGGACAAGACATAGGATTGGCAAGACCCCCGGCAGAAGAGTAGTCGGCGGGACCTCCAACGGCACAGGACATAGGGTTGGCAGGACCCCCGGCAGAAGAGTAGTCGGCGGGACCCCCAACGGGACAGGACATAGGATTGGCAAGACCCCCGGCAGAAGAGTAGTCGGCGGGACCCCCAATGGGACAGGACATGGAGTTGGCAAGACTCCCGGCAGGAGAGTAGTCGGTGGGACCTCCAACAGCACAGGACATAGGGTTGGCAGGACCCCCGGCAGAAGAGTAGTCGGCGGGACCCCCAACGGGACAGGACATAGGATTGGCAAGACCCCCGGCAGAAGAGTAGTCGGCGGGACCTCCAACGGCACAGGACATAGGGTTGGCAGGACCCCCGGCAGAAGAGTAGTCGGCGGGACCCCCAACGGGACAGGACATAGGATTGGCAAGACCTCCGGCAGAAGAGTAGTCGGCGGGACCCCCAATGGGACAGGACATGGAGTTGGCAAGACCCCTGGCAGGAGAGTAGTCGGCGGGACCTCCAACATCACAGGACATGGGGTAGGCGTCGGCCATAGAGCCAACAGGACACGGGGTGCTGGAGTCGGCCGGACCACCGACAGGACACGAGGTGCTGGAGTCGGCCGGACCACCGACAGGCCGGAACCATGGCTGCTGGGGCCAGAACTGGGGCTGGAACCATGGCTGTATGGGCCGGTTCTGGAGCCGGAACCATGGCTGTGTGGGCCGGTACTAGAGCAGGCACCATGGCTGCTGGGCACGGAACCGGAACACGGAACCATGGCTGTGTGGGATGGTACTGGAGCACGGTACCATGACTGTGTGGACCGGCACTGGAACACGGAAACATGACTGTAAGGTCCGGTTCTGGAGCAGTGACTATGGCTGCTGGGCACGGAACAGAAGCCTGGACCCTGGCTGTGTGAGCCAGGTAATGGAGCACGGAAGCATGGCTGTGTGGGCCGGTACTGGTGCACGGATCCATGGCTGTGTGGGCCGGTACTGGACCACGAGCCGGCCTCCCGACCTTGCGTTTCTCCGAGGCCCCCTGGAGGCTCCGTGGACCTCCAAACGCCAGGCGGGATTCCAAAAAAGGGCCAGAGAATGGAGCTGGAACCACTGGAGCACGGGCTGGAATCTTGGTCTTGCGTCTCCTAGAGATTCTTTGGAGGATCTGTGGGCCTCCCCAGGCCTGGTCATACCCCAGG